CACATATTTTCAATCGGATTAAAGTCTGGAGACTGTCTAGGCCACTCCAGGACCTTAATGTGCTTCTTCTTGAGCCACTCCTTTGTTGCCTTGGCCGTGTGTTTTGGATCAATGTCATGCTGGAACATCCATCCACGACCCATTTTCAATGCCCTGGCTGAGGGAAGAAGGTTCTCACCCACGATTTGATGGTACATTGCCCCGTCCATCATCCCTTTGATGCGGTGCAGTTGTCCTGTCTCCTTAAGCAGAAAAACACCCTTAAAGCAGAATGTTTCCACCACCATGTTTGACAGTTGGGATGGTGTTCTTGGGGTCATAGGCAGCATTCCTCCTCCTCCAAACACGTCAGATTTTGTTCTCATCTGACCACAACACTTTCAACCAGTCCTCCTCTGCATCATTCAGATGTTCAGTGGCAAACTTCAGACGGGCCTGGACATGTGCTTTCTTGAGCAGAGACCTTGCAGGCACTGCAGGATTTCAATCCTTGTCAGTGTAGTGTGTTACCAATTGTTTTCTTGGTGACTGTGGTCCCAGCTGCCTGGAGATCATTGACAAGATCCTCATGTGTAGTTCTGGGATGATTCCTCACTGTTCTCATGATCATTGACACTCCACGAGGTGAGATATTGCAGGGTGCACCAGACCTAGGAAGACTGACAGTTGTTTTGTGTTTCTTCTTGTGAATGATTGCACCAACTGTTGTCACCTTCTCACCAAGCTGCTTGGCGATAGTTTGGAAGCCCAGTCCAGCCTTGTATAGGTCTACAATCTTGTCTCTGACATCCATGGACAGCTTTTTGGTCTTTGCCATGGTGGAGAGTTTTGAATCTGATTGTTTGATTGCTCCTGTGGACAGGTGTCTTTTATACAGGTAACAAAATGAGCTTAGCAGAACTCCCTTTAAGAGACTGCTTCTAATCTCAGCTTGTTACCTGTATGAAAGACACCTGGTAGCCAGAAATCCTGCTGAATGATAGGGGATCAAATACGTATTATTGCATAATTTGTTAGATATGCATTTCTTTTGAATTTTTTGTTTCTATTCTGTCTCAGTGTTACAATACACCTACCATTTGATTTTTAGACTGATCGTTTCTTTGTGAGTGGGCAAACATTCAAAATCAGCAGGGGATCAAATACTTATGTCCTTCACTGTGACACTCCCCTCCCCACCAAATTGACAATTCTGCTGTGCCTCCTGTGCTCATTCATTAAGAGTTGAGTCTCACTAATATAGTATGTGTGTTACTGGCCAGATCGCAAGGAAAATAACAGAGGGGAAAAAGCCAAAGAAAATAAAATAAATACAGCTACTATATATAATGATTAGTAATCTGCAATGTAATACATTTTTGGTTTTGGGCTTAATATCACTTTAACCTCCCTAGCGGTCTGATTATGTCCATATTTCTGTGCTCAAAGCAGTACATTTTTTTGCATGGAAATATGTATTGTTTTTATTGTAGGCCTGTAATTTTTAGGAATAACTCACTGAAATCTGTCTGAACAAGAGTCTAGTAAACATCCCGGGTATGTTAAAATTTGAAAGACGAAATCATAAATTATAATTTAATAAATAATCATAAAAAATAATAATATAATAATAAATTTAATTCAATAATATAATCAAACCAAAAACACTGAAATTTGATATATAGCGCCAAGTTCGCACATCACTGAGCAAAGTCGCAAAATCGTTTTCAGTGTCTGATGATGAATTTCCCCACGAATCATTATCACTCAATTCTGCAAGTGGTTCTAAATTACTATTGCTGTTCTCTAGCTGGTCTAAAACCGATTTTTACCTAAAGGGACGCTTTTTGGACGCCATGGACATTTCTCAGTTTCTAGGCAATAAGAACAGTAAAAATGCAGGCAGGGCACAGGACAAAGCACTAGGGACAAAATGTATGTGAAATGCTTTGATACAGTAATGTTTTACTATGTGACTTTAGTGTATTTAGTGAATGTCAATTTTTGTCATTTTCAAATTTCCCGCCAGTTCCATCCCCCGTACGTCCCGACGCTCGCAGGGGATGGAACCCAGATGACAGATGCCGGCATCTGCCGGATTACATTGTCGGGGACACTGCAGGAGGGACATCCCGGGAGCGCAGGACAAGGTAATTGATCAAGGGATTGTGGAGCAGCGCCGCATGGTAAGCCCGAGTGTAGCTCGGGGTTACCGCTTTTGGTACTGAAACTTTACCCCAACTACACTCGGGAATACCACCAGGGAGGTTAAAGGATATGTTAACCTTTCGGAACATATTGCATGTTACAACTATATTTAGGGTGTAACATGTAACATTCCAGCACATGTTCCCCTCGCCCCCCTCACTTCTTCCGCTGTGACAGCAAGAGGGGGTTTGTTTTCCTGCATCCGCTGTCACAGTTTGAAAACAGAATGGCTGTGTGGAGCTCCGCCTGCTCAGCCATGTCAATGATTCACAGAAATCTGTAAATGAATAAACTACAAGTCCCATCTTCCACCGCGGCAGACGGTGTGTAATTGTCAATGGGATGTGAGCATGCTGATCAATGCTCTCGTTGTCCATTGACACTTCCTACAGCTCTGAAACTGGCAGCCCATACAGAGTTATGGGCAGAAAGCTGCAGGTAGTGTCTGCAGGAGCCTGGCATTGCACCCAAGATTCTCTGATCATGGGTGCAATGCTCTGCAGGCTGTGAAAAAATAATAAATGCACATTTTCTTCCTGCAAAAATATGTGCATGTTATTTTTTCATAAGGGTGAACTTAACCTTTAAAAGGGATCTATGGTTACGGCAGGAACTTTCATTTTATAACATCAGCATTGAAATAGCAATACAAACAATAGCTATCCAATATAAGTTTACTTGAAAAATCTCCTTTCATATTGTGAGTTCTGCCTGTCTGCTGGCCATCTCTTTCCACAACTTCCTGGATTCCCTGTATGTATTGCAGCTTCTCCTCTGCTGTTTAATTTCCATTTCTAACCATTTGCCGACCGCCCCAATGCAGATATACTGCTACAGGGTAGCCGCGCTGTACAGAATGACGTATATAAACGTGATTCTGCACTTGGTGGTCGCCGGAGCGTGCCGCCGGAGCACTGCTTCTGCTGTGATTGGTCACAGCAGAAGCCGATCAATGGGTGCCAGCCAATGCATTACCGCCGGCACCCAATGATCGTCTAGGAGACTGACAGAATACAGCTCTCCCTATATAAACAAAGCAGAGCTGTGTCCTGATAGCGGTAAAGTGCTGGATTATCTTTCCCTGAATCCAGCACATTACCTAGTGAAAACAGCACACACAGTAAGCATTACACATAGCTAGGCACACAGTTAACCCCTTGATCACCCTAGATGTTTAACCCCTTCCCCGCCAGTGTCATTAGTACTGTGTCAGAGTATATTTTTAGCAGTGATCACTGTATTAGTGTCACTGGTTCCCATAAAGTACCAGTGTCCGATTGTCTGCCAAAATATCTCAGTCCTGCTATAAGTTACCATTACTAGTATAAAAAAAAATTTAATTAAAATTCCAGTATATATACCATAGTCTGTAGATGCTATAACTTTTGCGCAAACCAATCAATATACGGGTATTGGGATTTTAAAAATGTAGCAGAATACACATTGGCTTAAAATTATGAAGCAATTTGGTTTACATTTTTTTATTGGGTATGTTTTATAGCAGAAAGTAAAAAAAAAATTTTTTTTAAGTTTTTCGGACTTTCTTGTTTATAGCGTAAAAAATTTAAAACCCAGAGGTGATCAAACACTACCAAAAGAAATTTTGTGGGAAACAAATGACATAAATTTAATTTATGTACAGCACTGAATGGCCACGTTAAAATAACGCAGTGCCGTATTGCTAAAAATGGCCTGGTCGGGAAGGGAGGTAAATCTTCCGGAGGTCAAGTGGTTAAGGACTACATATCCTATGGTACCTTGCTGCTTGCAAGCTGATTCCTGTACTGACTCTGCCTCCTGAAACTCCTCCTCTCAGCACCTCTGTAGATCAGAATGCAGGCTCTGTGAAATATGTGACAAAGCAGTGCCTACTCACAGGGCATAGTGTCAGACAATTCAAGAAGCAAATGAGTGTGATTCCTCAAAAAGTAAGTTTTCAATTGTCAAAATCATTCAGATTAATAGGAGTAGGCTTGGAATAATTGAAACAAAATGTGGAAATTAGTATATGATTTTAAAATTTGATCATAGATACACTTTAAACTATTCATCATGTCTTAGACTGACAGCACCACAAATTTTTCTGATAGCCCACTGAAGGATATGTAAGAGAACACCTAGATGCTGGCCTGGGTTAGTTTGGGTGATTCAGGTGATTAGTCCAATTTTTAAACTAAAATGTGCACCAGGTCAAAGGTTTGGCCAACAAAAGGGGACTTTTTAGGATAACATTTTCTTGGGCTTGGCTATGTGGTAGAGGGAAGTCTGGGTATGTTGTAACCATCTGTAAACTTTTGCTTATTGGTTACATTTTTGACAAATAAACCCTGTGCACAGTTTCCGTTAGTGTGCCAGGAACCCAACCACAGAAGAATAAAGCAAAGGGTTACATAGTTACATAGTTAGTCTGGCTGGAAAAAGACAAAAGTCCATCCAGTTCAACCATAAAAAAAAAAAAAAAAAAAAGATGTTGGCCAGGTATCCTCCAGCAGGTCTATATCCATCACACATATTTCCTAAGGGCTGTTAGAGCATTTATAGCATGTTTCTTTTTATTTCTGTTTCTTTTACAGATACTCCACAAAGGGGTGTTAGTTGGACTGGTTTTACTGGATGTAGAGACTAATGGCTCTTGATTTCCTTTCACTTCCACTACCACTAGCAGGTGCTTGAGCCATGAAGCTCATGTCATCCTTGCATCCCTCTAGCAAGTCTAACACCAGTATGTATTTCACAAGGACACTACAAAATATTAATTTTTCACACTGAGTAATATAGAACAATGTGGCATAAAATACTTTTGCTCATTAAAGGAGAATGTAGCAAATATCTTGTAGACAAGCAGGGGCGGACTGACAATTCATGGGGCCCCCGGGCAATAGGGGATCATAGGCCCCCTGTGTCCTTGCCCAAACTCAAAAAAGCCTATGAAAAAGGTACCAGGGGCATCTCATGGGGCCCCCTACTGACCCCGGGCCCTCAGGCAGTGCCCGAGTTTTCCAAATGGTCAGTCCGCCCCTGTAGACAAGTATACATAAAAGAAATCTACAGTGTGATTACTTAGCATTAAAACCTAAGAACATTTTTTAATTTTTTTCAATATACAGTATATTCATGGTATATTTCAGTTAAATTAATTGCAATTCCGTGTCTTGATTTTTTTTCTCCTTAAGAATTTTTTATAAAAAAAAAATAGAGAAACATACAAAGTTTTCCACAGACATATAGAAGTAAACCAACCACAAGAGCAAAACTATATCAATGTTATTATCATCAAGCAAGCCCAGAAACATCCGTGGAGTCAAGTCCCAAATGGGCCCAAGAAATAACCACAACAATCCTATGAAAGAAAATGAACCATAAAATAAACATAAATATATATTTTTATATATATATATATATATATATATTTTTTTTTTTTTTTTTGCAGTATTTTGTTCAGAAAGAAGGCATGAAAATATCGAAAATTTGCTCAACGATATTATATATATTTTTTAATAATTAATTCAGTGATTTTTTTTTTTTTTTTTGCAACTTGCCTCTGACTTCTAAACTTACACCAATGAATCTTTGTGAATAATGCATTCTAGTGTCCATCTACCAATGTGCATCTTAACTGACGTCAACACACCCATGTACCAGAGAAAATATTTTACTACATTTTTGGACTGTGATTATTTCTCATTTACCACACCTTTATCTGAATTACAGGTCCAGCAGATGAGAAATGTAGATCTCATGCAGCCTACAGGACTAGAACAATTCTCGTAATTATGTCTATATGTCTATGTAAATTGTACAGTTAGATACTTCATATTTCATATCCTATGGAAGTAATCCTTCATGAAATATTATTTTGTATCTTCTATACAAGGTGATTTTAAAGACTAAGTATTAGTTTATTAAAGCAGAGTTCCAGCCGGTTTTGTGTTTATTAAAAGTCAGCAGCTACAAAAACTATAGCTGCTGACTTTTAATAAACACACACTTACCTGTCCCAGAGTCCAGCGATGTACTCACCTGCGTTTCACAGGCGGGTGCCCACTGAGCATGCTTGAGTCATGCTGTGCCTCTTAATTGGTCCAGCAGTCTCCTGGGACCTGTGAAAGTTCCCAGGAGACTGCGGAAGGGAGGAGAGGGCTGAACTTCGAAGTGGTAGTGGGTAGCTGTCAAAACCAGATACCCGCTCCCCCCTCCCCCCAAAAGGTGACAAATATGGCAGTAGAGGGGGGAGGAGGCAAATAAGCGGAGCTTCTGCTTTTGAGTGGAACTCCGCTTTAAATGTGATGATCATACAGTAAGTGAATAGGGGACCTCACTTGGATAAATAAATCAGTTTATAACTTTTTAGTAATCCAGTATGATATAGATCAGGTCTTTACAGCTGCAATATGTAAAATGAGATATGACTGGGTATAATACTGGTACTACCCCCATAGTGTATAGAAGTTTAATGACAAGGCGATTCCACACTGATTTCACATCCTTTTTAGAAGCCTATAAGAAAATGCCAAACAAATAAGCAGCTAAGAGAGGCTCTGCAAACAAAAATTTATTGGGCGTTTCTAGCAAGAACTGCCTGTAAGTGATTACTTGCTTAAAGCAAATAGGTGCTGACAAATATAAAGTGCAGGCACCTAGTGGTGAACTTTCTACATCTTTAGTAAATACATTCTAATGAGTTTTATATTTCTACCATAGAAGTCCAGTTGCTTTGGGTAAAACTGAGGTCGTTCAAGATTTGGTAGTGGTGAAACTTGCTAACTTCATCTTCCGACATTTCTACTGCTCAGTGAAGGAGTGGGAAGCAGGAGGAATTGGGCAAGCCTAGGAACCACCTAAAGAACTGACATTTATGCAACTCTGCCCCACAGCACAGGTTCTTCTGGCAGGACAGTAGACCTGATTTTTCTCTACTGCAGCTTTGGAACAACTACAGGTCTTGTCCATCCCCCAGCCTGTGACTGGACAGTGAAAGGAGAAGCAGCACACCGATGAGCTCCTCTCTCTATCACTCTCTTCCAGTGTTGTCAGTACATGAACTGATTAGCTTCTTATGTTGTTTTCCCTATCCTTGTCCTTTCTCTGCTGTACAAGGGGTTGCAAAAGACTCCAGGTCAAACATTCTTTTAGTGTCATAATTAGCCATGAAAAATCTGTGTTTTTAGTCACTTTTATCTAAATCTGCAACATTTTGCTAGTCAGCCCATCAGCTGCCTAGGGGTAGCAGAAAGTTTGAGTACTCTGCACTGTTCTATACTTAAACACTACAGAGAATAATTTAACACTGCTTTGGCCAGCTTGGATTTGGCGTTACACTGATATTATCCAGACACTGAAAAGCTCAATGAAAGCTACTTTAGGAGCAAATTCAGTAAGAGGTATGAATTACTGTAGTTGCATTTGTTATTTTACCTGCCTCTCAAAGATGTTTATTTAAAAAAATATGAATATTGCATACGCTTGGAATGTGCATTTTTCCATACCAAATGGACAGTTAACAGTTGAAAATCTCTATTTCTAATGAATCTGTATTATATCTCACAAATCACTATTTTATTACACTCATAATAGCTACTTTTTCTACTTTCAGTAGATAACTCATAAATCCTCATAGTCATTTCCAGGCAGAAGCTAGCTGTAGTCCTTATATTTGCATTGCAGTTGTGAGCACAGTGAAGTCAGATGCCAATCATTTTAAATGGCACCCCGATACACATTCCCAATGCACAGGAACGGACCTACATTTTTTCACATCACATGTCAACCATCTAAGAGCAATCTGTGCATTGCCATTTGCTGCAGAATAAAAAAGACGCAGGTGCATATTTAGGTCCATTATGGTGTGTTAGCAGCCCATTTAAAACAAATGGGCTGCCTTTCTGCAGTGCACATTAACGTGTGACATAACACATGTTATCAAGTGTGCTGTAACATACTGTAAGCATGTGAACTCAGCTCAAGAAACCATAACTTGTTCAATAATTGATATCTGCATACACTTTCCTTGTAACAAGTGTTAAAAATACAACATTTGACACCTGCATTGACAGCATAATGTAGTCCCATTTCTGGATGCATCATTTCTATGTAGATGATAAACCACATGGTAAAATGCATATTGCATGGTAAAGCTTTGTTAATTGATCTATTGCAGTGATGGCGAACCTTTTTGAGCCCGAGTGCCCAAAACTGCAACAAAAACCAACTTTTTTATTTCAAAGTGCCAACACTGCAATTAACCACTTGCCTACCTGGATGCACTGACAGACGGCACTGATCGGTGGCACTGCTGGGCATCATTGATGGGTGGCACTGATGGGCAGCACTGATGGGCGACACTGCTGGGCACTGACAGGTGGCACTGCTGGGCAGCACTGACAGGTGGCACTGCTGGGCAGCGCTGACAGGCGGCACTGCTGGGCACTGATGGGTGACACTGCTGGGCACTGATGGATGACACTGCTGGACACTGATGGGCATCATTGATGGGTGGCACTGATGGGCAGCACTGATGGGCGAAACTGATGGGCACTGACAGGTGGCACTGCTGGGCAGCACTGACAGGTGGCACTGCTGGGCAGCACTGACAGGCGACACTGCTGGGCACTGATGGGTGACACTGCTGGGCACTGATGGATGGCACTGCTGGGCATCATTGATGGGTGGCACTGATGGGCAGCACTGATGGGCGATACTGCTGGGCACTGACATGTGGCACTGCTGGGCAGCACTGACAGGCGGCACTGCTGGGCAGCACTGACAGGCGACACTGCTGGGCACTGATGGATGGCACTGCTGGGCATCATTGATGGGTGGCACTGATGGGCAGCACTGATGGGCGACACTGCTGGGCACTGACAGGCGACACTGCTGGGCACTGATGGATGACACTGCAAGCAGTTAATCTCACCTCTGGCAGCGTCGGTGTGGCTTCCAACCCAGCAGCTCATTCCCATTCATGCTGAACACGTTGCCCCTGGCCCCGGAGCAGTGTGGGAGCAGTGTGGGAGCCTCTTCCTCTCTTCCGCGCCCATCCCCGGGTACATCACCCCTGGTGCCAGAGCCGCATTGGAGCCGTTTCCTCTCGTCCACGCCCACCCTGGCCCCAGAGACATGTGGGAAATGTAGTTTGATGGGGGTCCAGTGTGGACGAGATCTGGATGGCCGGTCCATGCGCGCTCATCATCCTCTTCTTCCTGGCGTGCCCACTGAGATGGCTCTGCATGCCAGCTCTGGCACGCGTGCCATAGGTTCGCCATCACTGATCTATTGCAATCCTTCAGTCTAAAGCTGGCCATAGATGGATTGAATAATGGCTGGTTCAGCAGGGACCAGGTGAGATTCAATCCATCTATGAGGAGACTGGTTGTACTGAAGTCGATCAATCCAACCAGCCTGTTGGATTTTTTTTTCATGTGATCACTGCCAGTGGCTATAGCTGCCAGCAGTGATCATTGCGTTCTGTCTGCAGGGAAGGTTTCCTGCCGGCAGAACATAATAGTGCTGTGAGAGGGATTACTGACTGAGTTGATTGGAGAATCAAGCAATTTTCTTTTCTTCCACATGGTGCTGGGAAAGAAAATTGCATAATCTCTGGGCTTCTTAAATTGTGAATTGTTGCATATCCAACTGTCCTGGTGATAGATAAGGTTTATTTAAAGTTTAGTTTACAAAAATATTTGTCAAATGATTTCTCGAATTCACTGTGTGTGTCCTGCAAAGTTCTTGCCTGCCTGTGGCCATTGGAAATGGATAAAATTGCAATATGTTATTAAATCATTTGATGATGCTATTAAATCGCTGTATAATAAACAGAAAAATACTGAAAGCAACATTCAGAATTATTTCAAGCATTATACCTCACAAAATGTTCTATTCATTGTTTTTCTTTTAAATATGGACTTTGGTTTCTATCTAAATCTTCTAATGCATTAAACCACAACCACAACAGTCTCATCAAAATTCCACCTCTGCTTGGAAAGATCAGAAGATAATGGATAATCATGTGTGTCATGCTGCGATTACTTGTAAAATATTTTCATACCTCTC